AAAAAATCTATTATCCTTTGTACTAGTTAGCATTGTCGAACGTGATCAGGAAACTTTTTCAGTTCTAGTCAACGTGTCATCGTGTTAAGATCAAAGGAAGGCTCAACGTCAACGCTGTCAGAAATCCAAACGCGAACACAGAAGTAAGTCTTTTTGCTCTGTGAATGTTACGTTTTATAAAGCCTTTTTTGCATCGTATTAATGAAATCCAAAGTTTGTTTTGGTAGTTTTAAGGTAGTTTCTAGTTAATCTAAGTATAGTTTTCGCTATATTTATTTCTTAGTTTTCGAAACCGCTTTGTACATCGTTTTCTTCGTCTACACCGCCTAATCATCGCTTCGCTTCGCATCGCTTCTTTTCAACATTGTTAACGTCTCATCGCTTCGCTTCAATAAACTTTGTTTACATCCTTATCGTCGTGAGCATCATTATTGTAGCGAAACTTCTTAAAGCGCGTCAAGAATTTTCTGTCTTAACGTGGGATTATTAAAACGATCGTCCTTGAAACGTTTCGCGCTCACGCGTCCAAGCCTGCGTAATTTTCTGTCTTAACGAGAGGAGATTGGGGCGGATTATTAAAACCGCCGACGGTCCTTTTTGAGTCGGTCCGCACGCCAGCGTACGGAATTGGTTCGGTTTTATTTTTTCGCGGCTTCACAGCTTCGAATTTCCATACGCCGCTCCTGCGCCCGGCTCGACAAAACCGCCATGCTACGCAGGCTACTTCTCCATACGCCCTTCTTAACGCTGAGAGGGTAAAATGAGGAGAAATGCGTATTTTGAAACGTTTCTGTCGGCTTAAAAGGTCTTAAAATGTGTTTGAATGAATCTTGGTCCTTTAAAAACTTCAGTGTCAAGGAAAACAATCTGTTTTGATGACAGCTCGAGTGTAAAATTTATTGTTGTGCGGAAAGAGTTCGTGAACAAATCATTAAAGTTGTTGATTTCGGTTTCAGGAAGAGTCCACACTGGGAATATGCCTAAATCTCTTACAGAGAAATGGTTTGTAAGGGCTCGCGTGTAGTAGTTGTTTATCAAAGTGAGCTATGAAAATGACCGAGAAAGCACGAACAGCCATTTTGGTGCCCATTGCAAGTGCCGTGTGTCTGTACGTAGTGTTTGCCGTTGAATTTGAATTAGTTTTCTCCTAAGATAAGTCGCATTACTTCCTCCAAATATGAAGTGGAGATAGGTAAATTTGACTGATAATGCTTTTCGGCTGTTCGTAATGGTGACAAACGATTTCGATTTCCTCTTCTTGGGGAATGTTAGTGCAGAGAGAACACATGTCCAACGTGGCTCAAATTGCTTCACCTGGAAGTGGCGTGTTTTCAATGAAAGTGTATAAAGAGTGTAGTGTCCTTGATGTAAAACTCTTGTTTTTGCGCGATTGGTCTTTTAAAAGCGAGTGCGAGTGCGATCTGTGGCGGCCACCGCTACCAGAGAGTACGATTGGTCTGCCGACAGGAAGAGTTTTATGTATTTTGGTCATCGTGAAAAATTATGGCATTCTTGGTGATTTTGGCCTAAACTGAGCCACTTGTAAGTCATTTGTCATTTCATTATAATTGTTATAACTTTTGTGGCTGTTTCGGATACAGTCGGTCTTGCTATTTAAACAGGTCTGCGACAAGTGAGCGAGAGAGCGAGAACCGGAAATGAGAAGCGAAGGACTTTGAGAAAGTCTAACTAAAACAGCACGTAGTTCGCATTTTATACCTGGTCCGTGTTTTATATATTCCGTGGTCCGCTGCCCGCAGTCCACAGTCCCTCTTTTATACTGCCGATCTGAAACGCTCTACCCTGCGTAGAGTAATTGCGTACAGTAATGCTGCAAGGTTGCAACAAAAGCATACTTACCAGTGAAAAAAACTTCCGCTCATTTCCTTGAAAACGTCTCGGCCATGATACGGGCAGGCCTTAGATTGCCGTTGGCGTAACAGTTCCTCTAGAGACAGCTCCACGAAGACACGGAACACTCCCAACCTCGTCCCCAGGGTCTTCTGGAAAGCGAGAAGACCTTGGGGACGAGGTTGGGAACACTCGTCCACTTCAAGACGACCGCCATCTTGTTTGCAGTCGTGCCACTTCCGGTTTTACCCTCCCGGCTTCCATAACAGGTACTTTTGGTCGGTTGGCAGTTTTGTTTTTCGTAAATACGAAAATAAAAAGACGATTTTATTTTTGGATTTCACCCGGCAGTAACACCGTTTCTTGCAGTTTGTTACACATGAATTGCTTTGTTAAGTTTGAATTTTTGATAGCTTGAATCTTGGGAAGAGGAAATTGAAAACAAAAAGTTAAAACCGCTAACTGGCCATTTTCAATTTTTAGTTTTTGATTTTCAAAATATTGAAGAATGATGTTTAATTTTACCTTTCTTAGCAACAAAAATTGAAAATTGAGATTGTAAATGTTTGATTTTCAATTTTTGAGGAATCAAACATTGAAAATCACGATTGTGAAGTTTTGATTTTCAATTTTCAACATTGAATGAAATTCAAATGGACGAAAACCACACGGACCTACCTTCCAGTTACATTGTGAAATTTCTAGTATTTTGGACACTACTCAAGACTTGTATAAATTCAGTGATAAAATTTCAAATAGCAGTGACTAACAAGGGCTCACTTGTTGTGCGGCCTCTTTTGAACTTATTGGGTCAAAGAGCATGTTTACAATTTGAGCAATCACCTTGTAATCACAACCAATAATGTAACCGCGTACACCTGCCTTTTGGCCAACATACACTGAGTATAGACCAGTCCGTTTTTCTCCTTGCTTGTGATTTAAGAACACTAGCTTTAGCATACATAACGCCAGAAGTTCTCTACACCCAGTCACTTTCAAGGACATTACTCTTTCTCGACGGGGATAATCCAGCCGAGCCTTTCAGTACTGCTTTTTTTTCAAATTTCCTCCAGCATGCTTCGGATACGAACGGTACGTACACGATTACATTTTCTGTGTCTTGCCAATGATCCTCTACTTTACAGATGCGGGTCGAATTAAACAGAGGGTCCTGTGCTGTAGAAAATCTACAATCTTCTTTGGTCCGAGCGACCTTTTCATCGAGCAATTGCTTGCACTTGCTGAGTACCCGGCTTTACTCAGATTGATCAAGCTCTTTCTTCTCGCCGAATAAGTTTAGCTTCAGGGCATTGCACAAATACTGCAGCCTTTCCTCGCTACGTTTAGGCAGATTTTCCGAGCGAATATTGATCAATCATTTCTTTAAAAATATAAGCCTTCTTTCGAGTTTTTACTCTGACCATCCGCCATTTTGAAACCGGACGTTTCAAAAAGTTGGGGAAAATCTGGTGGTGCCAGGCACCCCGGCGGTTTGAAATGAAGCAATTGCTATTGCTCAGTAGGAGCGATAACATATTCATGTTAAGTCATCAAGAGTTGAAAACATAAGATACAAAATCAATAAGCTTGTGGTAATGTCTCTTTACATGCCCTTGATTTACCTATCTGTTTGGAAGACAACTAGCCTGCGTAGCAGGCGTTTCCTCGTGGTTTCGGGGCAAAGAAAGACCAAGGAATGGAACGGGATTTTCGGTTGTGGCCGCGCGAAGAATGGAACGAGAGCCTCCGCGCTTTTTTACTCGTCCCATTTTCGGCGCATTTTTAGCGCTTTCTTTGACTTTCGGCGTTTCTCGTTCTTTGCTCCAAAACCGCACGGAAAGGTTTGCTACGCAGGCTAGAAGACAATATGAATTTACCCCCGCTGCGTAGACATTGCACAGTTAATGCCAGATCCCGAGGAAAACAGTTTTGTTTTTCCGTGAGTCGTGATGTTTCCCGAGACGAAGTCGAGGGAAACATCAGAACTCTCGGGAAAACAAAACTAACTGTTTCTTTCGGGATCTGACATTAAGTGTTTTGTGATATTTCTAGACTTTCACTTCAACAGCAACAAACGAATAACCGGAGCTAATCAAAACAGACACTCGACTCGGTACTTATAAGAACACAAATTTAATTCTCAAAACCACTGAATGAATGATTTACAAAGTACTTTCCCTATATTAGCTGCATCTTTTTCCTCCACTAGATGTTGTTTCTCTTCAGGTATAGCTTTGAAAATCGTTGCTTTTACTCTTGACGCTTTGTGTTTGTGTTGTTGTGTTCATCCCTGAAAGTGAGAACAGGCAGTATTTTTCCTTCCTTTTTTGTTGGAGCCCCGTGTTGCAACCCTGCCCAGCAGCCCTAAGACCATTTGCGACTCTGCAATCAGTAAAGCAACAAACGCAATGTGGTGAAGACGTAGAGTCAATTCCGTGAAGATGAGGTAGCCTCCGTGAGTCGCACTATAAGACGTATATTGTATATACTTATCCGAGACTACTAGATTTAATTCACCTGGTACAAGATTGGTCATATCCATAGAAATGTCATATCCATTAGTAGCGCTCCCGCGTCCAATTTCATGGTACTTTCTTTTGGCAAAACGGTCAAATATTCTCTTTGCTAAATGCTCACAGTTATTGATGCCAATGTTGTTTTTACTTTTTACGTCATTTTTTTCGAAGAGAAATTGTATTAAATCCTTCATGGATCCACATCCGAAATCAGAACTAGCTCGACATAACGGTTTAATTCTTGGATTTCCCTGAACTGAATCCCGGACCCCGTACTTTCTAGTCCCATTGTTCTCGTCGTGGCTAAAATTTTTGCTCCTTTGATTGAGAATTTCCTCCGCGTTTTTTTTTTTATTTTTTTCAATTGAAAAAACCAATTAGCTGTCTCTATCACGACAAACTGATGGCAAAGAAGCCGCACAGTTCATTGGAAACTGAAAAGTGCACTTTTAAAAACCCAAATCTTCTGGATCATTTTCTACTAAAATAACTGCTTCAGGGTTTTTTAACCCCGGTTTATCTGATCACTGCCTTATTTATGGCGCACTCAACCATCATAAAGACAAGACTCCTCCAAAGTATGTTACTGTCAAAAATTACAAACATCTCAATATCAAGAACTTGAAATATGATATGGAGTGTGCTCCTTGTCCTGTAATTGAAACATTTGACAATATTGATGATATGACATGGGCTTGGAAAACCGTCCATGAGAACATCTTAAACGAACACCTGTCAGAAAGGATAGCTAAAGTTCGCTCCAACAGTTTACCATGGATGAACTCTCATATACGGAAAACTATGAAAAGGCGATTCAAAACCCTCAATCTTGCAAAGGAAACTGGTACTAAAAAATCATGGGATGAATATCAAAACCTTAGGAATGAAGTTACTTATCTCCTGAGGACTGCTGAAGCAAATTACTGGAAAGAAAAGTTCGAACTTTTGGAGGCTGGTCGGAAAATTAACTAAGTGTTTAAGAATTATTATTGACAATCAGTTGTCTTGGCTTAGCCAAAATTTGTAGGTCCTTTGGCCAGAACGTAGATCAGCTAAAAAGGATCAGGTATTTAACAAAGGATGCCTTACAGTCTATTCACTTTACAAGAATTATTACCACTGTCACTCATTGCAATTTAGTTTGGGGTACCTGCTCACCTACATTATAGCATTAAGTTTGAGGTTTCCCGCTTTAACCTAGAGAGTAGTATCGCAGGCGGCTCATACGGGCCACTTAGTCTACACGCTAGAAACTGTGGGACAATGTCAGGCTCGGTTCCTTAGGACATTGAAAGCATGGCGGACATGTACAACCCGTAATTGACAATTTGATCTATTAAATTGGCGACGAGGACGGGATACAATGCCAAATGAAGACGCACAAGAAGAAAACAATACGCACAGAGGTAAAACGGGAGTCCTGGCAAGTGGTAAGGCTAGTGTGGGCGCCATTAATCTGAAAGGGGAGCCAGGTCAACGCGAGAAAGCGTGGAAGTTATGGCGAGAACGATTTGAGCCGGCAGTGCGATGGAGCAACACGGATAAGCTCGATCTGTTCCTGTTAGTGGGCGGAGAGAAACTCCAGAAATTAATCGAAACGTTACCGGAGCAGCCTACAAATTACGAGTCGCATATTCAAGAGCTAAACAACAATTTTGAGGCACACGGAAACAATACCTTAGAGCTATACAAGTTCTTCAACATCGACTGGCCTACCGAGGTACCGTTCGAGGATTTTGAAATCAAATGCAGAGAACAAGGGCTACACTGTGAGTTCCCGATGACTATAGAAAACGCTACTGCTGGCAGTGGTCAAAACGAAAAATGGAGAGCTACGCAACGAATCGATCCGAAAGAATGGAGATCTGAAATTGGTGCGTGAAACCGCAAAGGCGTTTAAAATGGCTCAGCAGGGAAGAGAGATGATAGCAGGTGACAATTCTACGGCCCAAGGAGGTGCACAGCCGAGTGCAAAGGACAGCAACGAGGTGAACAAGATCACCTGCTAGGACGGTACAGTACGAGGAACAACAGGCCCGAGAGCAGCACAGGCAGACCAACAACTAAGTTATGTTACACTGGATGTGGAAACGACGCCCACGCAAAGGGAGTTCCCTGTCCCCCTTGGGGTAAGAACTGCCTCAGATGCGGAAAGAGCCATCATTTTGCTAGGGCCTGTCCCAGCAGAAAACCGAATCGTTTTGGTAGGCAAGTCAGAGCTTTAGAGAGTGACCCGGACCCAAGCACGAGCCACCCAGAGGAGGAGATTGAGGCAACCGAAGAGGTCTACCAGCCTTGTACCGAGTAACGGGGGAAAGGTCATCGAAAATTACTGTGACGTTGCAGGTAAATACGATCCCGGTCACGTTACACCTAGACACGCAAGCAGACGTCACGGTCATCACAGAGAAACATTTTGAGAGTCTTAAAGGAACAAGCCCACCTCCAGCCGACAAAAGCGGTCATTAGGAGTTACTCAGGAGATGGACCAGGACCGGCCTTACTCTTACTAGGCTGTTTCACTACCTCTCTAAGCCGAAACCAAAAGAGCATCGTAGAAGTTGTGTATGTAGTCAGAGGCCAAGGGAACACTGCACTTTTAAGCCGCCAAGCAGGCGAAAACATGGGCGTCATAGAGTATCACATCGAGCAGATAACCAAAGCCCCCTTCCCCAGCAATGGAGGTGGAACGACCAGAAATAAACAACTTGATCGCAGAGTATGAGGCTGTCTTTCCTGGTATTGGAAAGCTGAAAGGTGTGACTGTAAAGCTGCATGTCGTACCCGAGGCCCCAGGTGCTATTCAGAAACAAAGAAGAGTATCCATGCCCCTAAAAGAAAAGTTTGGTCAAACCCTGGACAGGTGGCACAATCTAGACATCATAGAGGATGCAGGAGACGAACCGACAGATTGGTGCAGTAACGTGGTACTCACTCCTAAGAAGGACGGTGAAAGTGTTAGGGCCGGTCTCGACATGACGGACATTAACAAGTACATCAAGAGGACAAGGCACACCATACCCACCCTAAGGGAACTGGAAACCAGGCTGGATGGAGCTAAGTTCTTTTGGCACCTGGACATGAACGATGGTTACATGCAGCTAGAGTTAGCAGAACAGAGCAGGAAGCTGACAACGTTTTACACCCATCGCGGACTCAAGCGTTTCAAGGGGCTGCAATCTGACCCTCGGTTCAACCTACGATCGGTGACATTCTTTGGCAAGGTATTCTCCAGTGAAGGAATCTCACTGGACCCTAACAAGGTGGCAGCGTTGCAGGGAGCAGGCCCGCCCCAATCTCAAGCAGAAGTGCGATCGTTCCTTTTCTTCGCCGAAGCTAACGCGGACTTCATGGAGGGTTTTGCGCAGAAAACCGCACCACTAAGAGGCCTCATCAAACAGGGGGCACCTTTACAGTGGACACCTGAGTGCCAGAGAGCGTTTGAGCAAACCAAAACGCTGCTGTCAGGGGATACGGTAATGCGTACTTCGATCCACATCGAAAGACCGAACTCATAACAGATGCGGGACCCCATGGTTTAGCAGTTACACTGAAGCAGTATGACCCCACGCAAGGCGATAGAGACCCGTAACATATCGGTCTAGGGCTTTGACGGATATCGAGACCAGATACTCGCAGCTTGAGAAGGAGGCGAGAGCTGTTGAATGGGGCGTGCTCGTAAGCCAGATCACGACAGATATTAGTTAGTTGCCACCCTTTTTTTTCTTTTATTGTATATATTTTCCTTAGTTAATCTTAGCAAGTTCGTTGTTATCTTATTTTTTTAGAAATTTATTTCTACAACAGTACTGTTATATATTCTCTGTAATAAGTCAAATATTTTTATTCATTTATTTCTTTTTTTAGAATTACGATTATTTTAAAGCGCCATTGAGCTCACGGAAATGGCGCTATATAAATTCTTGTATTATTATTAATATTAATATTATTATTATTATTATTATTATCATTATTATTATCTACTTCTACGGCCTCAGAGATACGTTTGAGGTAGACACTGATCACAAACCCCTACTGCCTCTGTTTGCAAGTCACAAAGTCACTGCACGCTCCAAATTGAACGAATGAGAGTACGCCTTCTGGGGTTTGATTACAAGCTCAATTATGTACCTAGAAAAAAAGCAAAGGCAGAGACTAACGAAGCAGATTACAACTCCAGGCACCCAGAACCACTCACGATCGAAGACACCAGGGCAATACACCAGACAGAGCTTACTGTTCATGAAGATGAATAATTGTTTGGGAAGGACATCAGGGCAGTGGTGCAAGCGGCACCGTGACCAGATGCAGTATCATAGGATGAGCTGCTAGAGGAGACAATTCAGGACCCGGAATTCAAAGAGCTTAACAGTGCGATAGCGAGGGGATACTTCACGGCACCAGAACAGCAAGCCCTTGGGCCCCAATTTGACCCAGTCTTTACAGAGCTAGCAGTGGTAGAATGATTGGTGGTGCGAGGGTCTCGCATAGTGGTACCCAGGTCACTTCGCAGTCCGGCTCGCTCATGAGCGACATCAGGGGGTTACAAAAACAAACGAATATCTCAGGACCAGGGTCTGGTTTCCAGGTTTGGACCTGATGGTGGAAGCCCACATTTACAACTGGGGACCTATCAGCACAGGTGAATACCTTCTCGTTGTCATATGCAAACAATCACGGTGGGTCGAAGTAGAGTTTGTAAGTACCACCAGCGCCCGAGCAGTAATACCGAAGCTGGACCGCATATTCTCCTCGCTGGGAATACCGCTGATCGTCGGCAGCGAAAACAGACCTCCATTCAACGGACATGACTTCCTGAACTTCAGCACGTATCTGGGCTTCAAACATGACCGCAAGACACCCAAGAACCCTCAGGCCAATGACGAAGCAGAGCAGTTTATGCGGGTGCTTAAGAAGCTATACTGCATATGCCAGCTAACTGGGTAGGTCTTCAGGCAAGAAGTGCACCGACTTTTACGCTGCTATCGAGCAACGCCTCACGGGACCACCAAGCCAGCCCCAGCAGAACTGATGTTCCCTGGCCTCAAGTTTCGCCCAAGGTTGCTGGTAGGAGTCATTCCTCGACAACTGGATTTTGAGGAACTGTTTCAGCGTGACCTAGAGAAGAAGCTGCAAATGAAGGAGCATGCAGACAGGAAGAAGAACGTGAAAACCTTGAATATACAGGTTGGCGATGCAGTGCTGGTGAAACAAGAACTCAGCAGCAAGGCCTCATCGCCCTATGAGGGAGAGCCGCTGGAGGTACAGTACAGAAAGGGAACTCAAGTTGTGGCCAAAAGGAGAGATGGCAGCACCGTCACAAGGTCGACGGCACACTTCAAGAAGGTACCCTACTAGACTCCGTAGGAGGCAGGCGGATGGAGGCTAGGACCAGTTTCCGGTCACAATCCCAGCGCAAGTGAGCTAGCTATCAAGGTTGCAGGAACATCCTGAGAAAGTACGGTTACCCGAGGTGGAGCTCTCAGATCCTCCGGACAGAACGGAGCCACCCACAGAGTAATAATTATAAGTCTGGTTTATTAATAAAATCGTGGCGCTTAGAAATAAGCGAGTTACGAAATTATTTTACAAAGATATAGATATTAGTAAAAAAAAAATAATTTAAACTAATTACATCGTCTTCCAAATGGACTGGGCCTTACAATTAAGAGAAGATATAATACAATAAATTAGATAAAAAACTAGAAACTAGAAATATATATAAAGTTATAAATTAAATTCCCATAAGTTCCTAAATTACATGCCATGAGCATAAAAGCACATCGCCGGAAAAAAGCTTCGTTTAAAGCGTTCAGTTTTGCAACTTATAAGGGATGGTCTGTCTTTGTTGCGAAGGGAGCGGCCGTGCGCCTGCGACCGAGTCGGTGGAACAAGATGGCGAAGACGGGACTCGGGCTGCCTAGAGGAGGCACCTCAACCACCTCTGCCATTGGAGGCCAGTGGTCGCATGC